AAGTATGATTCGACAACGCTCGCAAAAATTCATTCACGTCGAAAATGACCTGACTCATCATCCCACCATCCCACAGTTCCCACTGGGCAGCTGCACGAATGAGTGCCATATAATGVCCGGGTCTATGTAAAATACAGGCAAAAATATGAGGATGGTTATTGAGGTCATCGCCTGGCGTCGCATGATGCATAAGAAGGTGGCGACCGTGAAACGCTAACTGTAAGACATTTACAGTRAAGCCTCCTGAGGTAGTATAGTTACTACCTTCTGCAGGTGGACTATTATGGTCAAGCAACAACTGATTTTCAACAGCGTCAAGCTGATACGCAATCGTAAGAAATTGGGATGGACTATAACGTTGACGCTGATATATATGTATATATACTATATAGTAGTCGCTAGGTAGGGGAAAAGGAGGTCCTCTCGAATATACCTGTGCTGTTTTAAGATTGGAGGATTTTGTGTCCCTTCTTATCTGTGCCTCCCTCGCTTGTGCAAAATGCCCAGCAACCCCACAGGCAGGCCGTAAAAGTTACGCATAAGCGTTGACGTTCAGGGAAAAAAAACCGCGTTCACGCACGGAAAAGACCTGAAAGCCTAGCCCTCCGTCCGCCTCTCCATGTGCTAATCCTCCTTCACGGGCTAGAGCTATAGTATATGGATCGCTTAGGGAAGACATGGAGACTATTACTCCCACCTCCATGTGCTAATCCTCCTCCACGGGCTATAGTACTCGATTGCACCTTGTTGTGCTGATAATACGTACATCCCTCCTGAAGGATACTGCTCACACACTTCTGTGATTGAAGCTGCTGTGATATCATCTTCTTTTTCTCTTCTTTTTTTGCGCTACGGGTGTAGGCCCCCCCCCCAACTTATTGTAGTCATCTGACTTGGTCAGGATTCAATCTCAGGACGTGTTTATTAACAGTTAGTTACACGTGCGTATCATTATCATCATCAGCCGCATGTATATATTATCTTAACAGTCAGACATGTCCTGCCTGGCCTGGTATTGTGCAACGTGTGGGTGCAGGTGGACAGAGGCGATGCAAGAGTGACTTGCAAGAAGGCGGACATTCATCCCAAATACTTCAAGGAGGCTAAGGTCTTCTGCAACGGTCAATATGTCATGACAACCTCTGGCTCTCAGCCTGAGTACAGGGTAGAAATTTGGTCTGGCAATCACCCCTTCTACCAGGTATGCCCCCTCCCCCCCCTTCTTCTTCTGCATGTGTGTCCTTCCTTGGCTTCCAAGTCCTCCTTGTATCCTCTTTCTATAACCTTCTCTCTCTCTCTCTCTCTCTCTCTCTCTCTCTCTCTCTCACACACACACACACACACACACACACCCACACACACGTGTGCAACCTCCTGATGAGTCGGTGAAAGTCCGATGGAACAATCTGGCACAGTCATGCTTTTCTTTATGGAGTTGTGTATAGCTCATATGGCGACATGCACACACATGCGCACACACACATCGCGAACTTTTGGGCGCGTTGGGGAGCCGTTATCCATCAGTTAAATGCATCCTGGCCAGACTGTCGGGGTTCAACCTCCCGAGAAGTCTGGTGAAAGTACAATGAAACAGTCTGGAGAAGTCTGGTGAAAGTACAATGAAACAGTCTGGCGCAGTGATGCTGTACTGTTTTGTAGAGTTGTGTGTATGGCGAATATGACAACACACACACACACACACACACACATGCAGTCTGGCACAGTCGTGCAATTATGTAGTGTCATCTGTAGCGAACATGACAACACACAGGAGGCAAAAAACACACCCACACACATCGAGATGTACCGACGTGCTGACAAGCCGGTGAAAGTCCGACGAAACAGTCTAGCAGAGTTATGCATTTCTTCGTGGAGTTGCGTATACCAAATATGAACCCCCCCCCCTCCCCAAACACACACACACGGTTTTGCCAAACAGATCATAATAAGGATGTAAATAAGGGGGTCGGTTCCGTTTGTCTTCTTCTGGTTGATACCACGTACCGCTACCGATGCTCCCATTCTGTCCCTTGTCCTGCACCTGGCTTGTGGTCTGGGTGGGGTGGACTGATACTGTGATAGTCTGCCGTGGATTGTGGATTGTGGATTGTGGATTGGCCCATCAGTAGAGGGCTGTAGATGCTGCGGAGAGGGTCATATCCTCCTCACCCCAACGTTCATTGCTCTCGTGTATGGCACATATCTTTTTTGGGTAAAGTAGCAAAATTGGAACTTGGGTGGGTGATGCTGTGATGTGTAATGTGCATATGCATGTATCCTATGATGATCCATCTGTGGAAGCATGAGTTGGGAGGATATTGCTTGTGCATGGCATGTAGCATCAACTTGCTATCAAGTACAAAGGATTGAAGAATTGTTTGGTTGGACTAGATGTTTAATTGGGTAAAATGCATAGATGTGGATAAGTCCAGTGCATGCTGCTGCATCTCTGCATCCAACTGCAACTGAAGGAAACATTGAAGGGTTATGGGTCGTTCAGTGCTTTGTCTTTTAGTGTTTGGTACTTTGAACAAGTGCTGACGTCAGTCTGTTGTGAAATGGGTGGGTGTGCGGGAATCTTGTCCGTCCGGTGGTCCACTTGTTCAATTTACAGGGGAGCAGGGCGCCACTTATATCGGACGATCGGGTTGACAGGTTCAGGAAGAAGTACGAGGGTCTTGGAAGTCTGGGGCAAATCCCAACTTTGACAAAGGGAGAGATTATCATTGAGAAGAAGAAGAAGCCTGCCAAAGGCAAAGGGGGCAAGAAGAAGTAGACCCCTATTTTGCTGACCCCTTTTGTTTGCCTTTAAAGTTGGGCCTCATCAACTCTTATGTTGTCAACAACACCCCCCCCCCCCAACCCTCTCTCTCTCTCACACACACACTCACATATACATATCCCCCGCACCCTACCTGTGCTGGGTGTATCTTTTTGGACCTTGCTGAAAGTCAGATTGAATGTCTTGTTACAATCAAGCAGTTGGGAGGAGACGATGGTGGTGGTGGGTTTCTCGCTTGCATCAGTCGCTTAAAAGACGAGAGACTGTGGTCGTCGTGAAGGAGGGGGTCAGGTGTGACAGCCTGTGCGGTGATGAGAGATACTTTTAGAGGTGGGGACCACTTCAGAATTATAGATTTGTTCCGAAAGAGGAATTTGATTGTGGAGCTCATCAAGCTTTACGTCCAGCTCATTATCCTTTCCCTTCTCGTGTGCTACTAGATGACCTGTTGAGGGCTTTGGTTGTAAAAAAGAGGACGATGGAAACTGCAGAGACGGTGCAGGGGTAAGGGGGAGAGAGGAAGCACAGAGGGAAACTGCTCAGCGTCGTGCAGAGAAGATTGCGGTGGAGAATTGAAGTGACCGCAGGTCGTGATTGTACATTCTCCACACGAACACAGAAAAAAAAAAGAGAGGAAACCCTGCTCGGTGCACCTTGTCTTTCTCGGTGCTCTGCATTTAATATTTCTCTCGAACCTATTCTCTACTCTTACTCTCTACTCTCCTCTAGTCTACTCGTTTGTACATCACGAGGTAGTGTTGTGTGGGAGCAGCGCACAGTTCTGGTTGGGAATACTCTGCTACAACTTGGAGATAATTGTAATGTTGTACCCATCCTCTCCTTTTCCCCCACCATACTGATGAGTTTCATTTGTTTCTCCATGTTTTTTCACTGTTACTCTTTACTAGTTTTTAGTAGTTTTCCATAAGCTTAAAAAAGAAAAGAAAAAAAAAAAAAAGAGTGGCAGCCTCTGTAAGATGAAAGAAATGTTTGCACCACTGCAATTCACAGCGCAACTTGATTATGAAATTGATTGACAGACAGAAGCAGAGCTGACCAAGTTTGTCGACAGTGGGAACGAGTTAAGTGCAATCTCTGTTTGCACAACTTCGTTTTTTTTTTCTGTGGCCACCAACCATGACTGTTTTCACCGCCTTTTGTCTCCATTGTTTCTCCGTCTTTTTTCTCCCTATTTGCACCACTGCAATTCACAGCGCAATTTGATTATGAAATTGATAGATAGACAGAAGCAGAGATGACCAAGTTTCTCGACAGTGGCAACGAGTTAAGTGCAATCTCTGTTTGCACAGCTTTTTTTTTTTTTTTTTTTTTTTTTTTTTTCTGTGGCCACCAACCATGATTGTTTTCACCGCCTTTTTTCTCCATTTTGTTGCTCCATCTTTTGTCTCCCTGCTTGCTCTCTATCATGGACATCTAATGATCTAGGGCAGTGCAGGGCGGTGCAGGACAATGCATTTTCACTTACGTTTGCACGACACATCCAACGTGGCACCGCTAACGTGGCAGCATGTAAAGCGGTGGGAGTATGACAGAGGGTTGGATGTTCCTTCTTTCGAACGTTTACTCCACCACCACCACCTCTGCACCACTTGAAAACGAAGGCTGACCAGCATGTGCATAACCGCGCACAAGGGCACATGTTTGTATGTGCACGTGTGTATGTGTGCACCAGGGCATGCGAGGTACAGAGTGTGTGTGTGTGTGTGTGTGTGTGTGCACTGTGGCACACGAGGAAACAGCAAGGGAATAAGTGATGTGGCAACTCAGGGGAACCACCATTTCTAGGTATGGCATATACACAGTCGATGATTATGCAGGGAGGCAAAATCATACAGACTGTGTTTCATGCACACACAGAGAGACAGAGAGACACAGAGAATTATGTGACTGTCTTTCATGCACACACAGAGAGACAGAGAGAATATTGTGACCAAGGGGACGCGTGTGTGTGTGTGTGTGTGAGAGAGAGAGAGAGAAGGGGGGCGTGTGTGTGTGTCTGTGTATGTGTGAGAGAGAGAGAGAGAGAGAGAGTGTGTGTGTGTGTGTGTGTGTGTGTGTGTGTGAGAGAGAGAGAGAGAGTGTGTGTGTGTGAGAGAGAAAGAGAGAGAATAGTGGGACCAAGGGGAAGTGTCAGAAAGGGGAAGTGTGTGTGTGTGTGTGTGAGAGAGAGAGAGAGAGAGAATAATGGGACCAAGGGGAAATGTGAGAAAGGGGAAGTGAATAGTAGAATACTAGAATAGTATAGAATTATTATTTGGGGTCATTTCAACAATTATTATTTGGGGTCATTTCAACAAGTCATTTCATGGAAGAGCATATGCCATCCCATTGTCAAAAACTGGTCGCGGGTGGAGGAGCTCCAAGGTCCCCAAGGTTTGTAGGTTTTCCATGAGAGATCAGCAAATTCTAGATGTGTAAGATACCTTTCAGGAATGCCCCCTCGGGATAGTCTGGTTGTGATGGTACAGCAATGTAAATGGTGTGAGTGCCCTCTGGCCAACACAATTCTGGCGGATGCAGTCCAAATGGTGGCTTGGTCGTTGATGCATATGGGCAACGCTCCTGTCAAAATTCATGTACAATCTTTTGCAGTGCAGCAAAAAAGACTCGGAGGTGGTTGGTGGTGGGAGGGGGTATTGAAAACCGAGGGGAGTGTCTAGGGTGTACTTTGTGGAGCTCTCCTGGTACAGTGCAACACATTTATTGTAGGGCAAAAATCACCAATACCCCCTCATTACCCCAGAACGAACCCGTGTTGACGTCAGGATGGATGCTATGCGTACTTATCTGCGGAAGAGGGCCCCTTCCTATATTTTAGATATTCAGTGCAAAGGGCATTTCAGTTCAGGATGAAGCAGCTACCGTAGTATGTAATTTCTCCTATGGACAGACTTTACTCCTGCTCAGTGATATACTCGCCGCCTAATGAGCAATTATGATGGTTGATTGTGATGAGATTGATTGATGGTAATTATTACTTAAGATGATTACATCGCCAGTACATGGCCGCCAGCTTGCCAAAGTTCATTCATTGCCGGCTGGTGGGGGCAGGGAAAAGAAGAAGAGAATTGTGCTACTAGCGGTGCGGCAAAGCTTGGTGCGCAGTGCTGCGCATCCAGGCCCAGGTGTACTGCTGGTTTAGACCCCATCAGCACCTTTCCCAGGCAGTGCTGCCACCACGCCTGGCCGGACAACGCTCAGGCCTTCAGTTTCACTCACCGCGTCTGGCCGGATACCGCTCAGGCCTTCAGTTTCACTTGGAAAGCATCCAAGCAATGCAAATCGCTTTACCTGGATGAATTCCAAGGGAAGCGGTAGGCCGGTACATCCCGTCAGACCCATCTGTGCACATACCGCATTGTAAAAAATGGTAAAAAAATATGACCGGGCATACCACTCGTGGTTTAAGAATTACGATTGTTGATTACGATGGCGATGGTGATGGCCGAAGATGTGATTTGTTGGCGATGGTTGGCAATGGCTGAAGATGTGATTTTGTTGGCGATGGTTGGCAAGAACAGGATGTGGTTGAGGTAAAGAAGAATGTGCAACAATGCGGTGATGATGAAAATGGTGCGACGGTCAGTCCTGAAGAGGAACAATGACCACGATGATGATAAACAAAGGTGGTGGTGAGAGCATGATAATGACAATCACAATTGTAAATTGATGAATAATCGCTGTAGAATATTGATCATAGTGGAATTGGGATGGGACGGGGGCGGGTGGGCAGGAGTGTCCTGGCGGGGGGGGGCCAGAAGTATTAGTTCGATGGTATTCACGATGCTCATTATGATGGCACCGGGCATGCACTCGCTCTTCCTGAATGGCAAACTCCACATGAGCTTACATGGCACTGCCAGTGCACATTATCCCCCTACGCATGCAGATCTGTGCATACATTAAAACACCTATTCCATCGGGCTTCGTACCATGGCAATCCCAAAATCATCGGCGTTGGGTTGTCTGGCACATGTCTACTTGCCTGCCACAAGATGATCATACCCATTAGCTGCTTTCTTGCACATTCTTCTTTACCACGACACAAAAGCATTAACTGCTTTGTTGCACTGTGTTGATTGTGTTTGTTGTTCTCACTCTGTGCACCCTGGCACCGAGGAAGCGTTGCACGTCTCAATTGTACTTTCTGGAGTGGTACTCTCCAGTGCATTCCTGGATTAACTGTGCCATCCAATTTTTTTGCTTATAAGATATAACGTATTGCCCTATTGGTTATAGCTACTTGCCATCCAGTGTTAAGACATGCCCTGTACATATTTTTCTGCAGCCAGTTTCTCCCTCCTCTACAGCCTCTTCTGCAGCCAATTTCTCCCTCCTCTACAGCCTCGTCTGCAGCCACTTTGTCCCTCCTCTACAGCCCTTTTCTGCAGCAATTTTCTCCCTCCTCTAAAGCCTTTTCACTTTCTCCCTCCTCTACAACCTTTTTCTGCAGCCACTTTCCCCCTGCGTCCTTATAGCATCCTCTACAGCCTTTTCACTTTCTCCCTCCTCTACAGCCTTTTTCTGCAGCCACTTTCTCCCTGGGTTCTTATAGCATCCTCTACAGCCTTTTCACTTTCTCCCTCCTCTACAGCCTTTTTGTGCAGCCAAGTTCTCCCTGGGTCCTTGTAGCATAGGCATATTAGCTTGAGGTGGAGTGTGAAAGGATGAGGTTCGGTGCAATCTTCTTCCAACGCATTTGTTGTGAATTTTGTGATTTTGTTTTCGTCTTTTACCTCCACATGTGAAATAAAGGTGGGTCTGGAGCATTGGATCCTGTTCTGCTCACCAAATGGCCAATCAGATTAATCTTTGCAGATAAAACAACCACATGGAATAAAATAAATGCGAAAAAGAAATAAAGGTGGCCTATGAGTGATCCCTATGTTTATTACTATTATTATAGGGGTATGGGGTTCTAGACACAGAAAAATACGAGCAGCATATCAGTTTTTCTTATATAATTTACTTGGATCCGTTTTCATGCTTTTAGCTATTTTATTGATTTTGTTTCAAACTGGAACCACTGATTGCCAAGTGCATCATGAACTTTCAAAAACACATGGTTGATATATGATCTATTTCACTGTGTGCCGATAGTTTGTTTATAACTTTATGCATAGCATCTTTGATCTCAACGACTCAATTGAGAACATAGCAAAGAAATGCATACAATACAATAAAACAAAGATCGTAATGCCGTGTCATGCAAGTTATGCGAAAACCGGGGACGCTGGACCCGGTTTCCAGCAGGTGATGTTCCCCATCAATAGACAGGAGCCAATGGCAGCAGGCTACTATTGAGGGATTGCTCCTATCATCGCCAGTAGTACCTCAAGCCATTGTTTGTTAAACGAGAGGGAAAAAAAAAGGTGGCCTGGGTCTTGCTCTGCACATCCAAGCCTTGCTCACCAAATGGCCGATCAGACGAGGCGTTGCAGATAAGACAACCGCCTGGAAATCACTTGCAATGTGCTTATGAGCTCTGGACTTTGGACTCCTACTCCACGGATAGAGGATCGGCCATCCCGGCAATATCCCTTTACACTGGTGTCAGAGAGGGAACCATCCTCGCTCCCACCCAGCTCACACGGCGGCAACACGGCAGAGGTGCGACACGGAGGTGAGTATCCGGCCGCGGCACCACAGCCACTCTGTGTGATACCTCAGAAATTTCCTCCGGCAGATCGTCAATCGTGTGCGATAACTCAGAAATTTTCTCCGGTAGATCATCAAACACGGCATACCTCAGAGATTTTCTCTGGTGGATCGTCAAACGCGTCATACCTCGGAGATTTTCTTCGGTTGATCAGTATTGACAGCATTCTGACTCAGCACTGCCCCTACCTGTTAGACGACGATGGCTGGTCTTTTCACCCTGTCACCTGGAAACAGATCGAACCGTTCCTGGATTACTTCCTCGGGTAGTGGCTACTATATCTCATCTCTCGGATGAGCAACGCCTACAATGGAAAACTCCATTCCAATCTACAAGGCTCACTGTACGGCCTCCACCACGGGCGACAGGATCTCCAGCATCCATTGGCCGCCATACCAGACAATCGGAAACACACACCGCTCAGTTAGAGTTCTTACCAGGAAAAAGATAACATAGTGAGGTCGTCAATCTGGAGAGTGACTGATGGCCATGAAGGCCTTGCATCTCTCCTGAAGAAACACGCTCTGCACTTGAGCTGCTTCGAGGTATTGACACCAAGTACTTTCCTTTCAGACTCAACATGACTGCAACCCATCGTGTTCTTTAACAGAGGGGTAGAAGCAGAGAGTCAGAGACACATAGCATGTCGTTGGCATCGTGAAACGGAAGCAGACTCAGTTCACTGTTATGTAAGCAAGGCATGTGAAGGTCGCAATGGCATATTGAGCAAGCGAATAAGTCACTACGAGGAGGATGAACGCAAGACAAAGATAAGTTAAAAAGTTCTCATGCTGCGCACACGGTACTTGCATGATATACCTGCATGTGGTGATACTTCGAAGGAGATACCCGCAACAGTGCTGGCAGTCTGTGTCCAATCTGCAAAGGCAAGTCTGGCAGCTTGACTGGAGTCACCCGAGGGGCAAGTGGAGGCGAGAACTGTCCCCTCGAGGGGACACAGCTCTCACCTCCTCGCAGCTCTGGTGCACAATGACATAATGTCCCTGGTCAACAAGGCGAATTGAGTGGGACATGCCCCATACCATGTCGGACATATGCTCTCTCTCTCTCTCTCACACACACACACACACACACACACACACACACACACACATTCTTTGAGACAAGCCAGAGCTGCACTTGCCTTCCCATGCATGCAATAAGCAACAACTCCATGCCAGGCGTGATGCAGTCATCTTTCGGATCTCTCTCTCTCTCTCTCTCTCTCTCTCTCTCTCTCTCTCTCTCTCTCTCTCTCTCTCTCTCTCTC